CCATTTAGGTTACATAATTCATTTTTTAAAATTTTAGTGATGAGGGAGATTTCTCTTGCTATCATCACCTTCATGTGGATTTGTCCCGGTGATTTGAATTTTCATTCCGGGCCACCTCCATTTTAATGTTTAAATATGGAATTAAGGCCAAATTTTCCAAATTTTATACTATGAGTCAATATTGAATTTTTACCACTACATTTTAATTTTAAAAGATTTTGTCAATATACTTTCAATTTTTTATTTTTGAGCAAAGAGTAACGAATTGATGGAAATGTGCCACTTGCATTAATAGAATATCAAGAGAAATATTTTAATTCTATTACTTTTTGTCTGAAAATTAATAAACTTGAAAATAGAGTGATAAAATTTAACAAAATTGAAATACTATGACAATTTTCTTTTTTGAAAAGCAAAATACTATGTCAATTCAATCTTGAATCATAATATAATGACAAATTTGACTTTGATCCCTTAAATTATTTTCACAAGGTATTTGACTATGGTCGTAGTTATTTTGTAAGAGTTTACTATGTTAGATGTTAGATATGGGAACGTATTCTTGAATCGTTGCACAATAGTTTATATTTTTAAGGTTGAGTGTTTTCTTCCTTTTTTTTTCTCCTTTTTGGATAAATAATCATGTCTATCTTAAGATATGTTGTCACTTGACTGCATCCACACACTAAACGCAATGGTAAACGTATATATTTCTTTACTTAAAAATCTTAGTCCAAATCCATTTTTCTTATGAACAAAACAGAGTTGATACTTGATTTATAGAAAAAAGTTTATATCATGAGTCAATGTTGTCCAATTTAATTTATTATGAGATTGTCATTTTAAATTGATAATAATTGAAGATACTTATGTTAAATTAAAAGATTTCGAATATTTAAATTTAATTAATTAGTTATTTCATATTTATATATCACAACTTCGGCACTCCACGTAATAATAATATGTAAGGACAACAAATTTATTGTACACTTCCGAGTTAGAGAAAGCATGCTGTTATCGTATGACATGGACCTTGGAACTAACTATGACAAACCTAACTTGTAAAAATCACCTAACTAATAAGGTGAATTTTGTTTTTTTTTTAAAAAGTAATATGGTGAAACTACCTTTTTACTATGTGAATTTTATTATAAAATATTTAATTTAAAATTAATTAATGATAAATAAAAAAATTATTATATATTATATATAATGATATTCCAAATTTGAATCTCACATTCGTATTCGTATAGAGGTAAACGATTTAATAGATATTCTCCATCATAGAGAAGTTCATAACGTGAGATAAAATTTACTCTTAAAATAAATAACCCCTTCAATTCTTAGATTTATTGGATATGACTATTTATTATTATAATCATTACGTGAACAAAATTCCACAATCATTAGCCCTACACGAAGGGCTAAACTAAACAAGCCACGAATCACATGGTGAGGAATGATTGGAGTTTGGACAAGGAGTCTTCCGGACAAAATTCGTGAATGGGACTAGGGAAGATTGTAGCCAAGCCATCTGCAAAGTAAAATGAGAATATATATATATATATATATATGTATGTATATATATGTATGTGTGTATGTATATGAAAAGAAAGCATCGAAACAAGTGAAAAGAAGAAGTGGTCAACTCATGGGGCAGGCTAAATTGGCATAACGTCCCTCCAGAGCTTTAAGGGGCAATTTCCGTAGCTAGTGTCCAACCAAGATAATAGGGAAAAGAAACAACGCCCTTTTTGTTTGTATCCTTTGCAGATACAATGTTGCTTTAATACTTCACTCGTCTTCTTCTTTCCATAGGTTTTATTTAATTTTTCATCTAATGCTTATCTGTTTATTACCTAATAATTTTGAAAAATCTTTTTATTTTGTTTGAGTGATACATGCGATGACGATTTGAGAGCATCGAATCCTTCTTGTCATTTTTCATCGAGCTAGCTAAGCCCCTTAAAAAATGACATTAAAACTAAATTTTTTTCCTTGACTCTATATATAGTTGAAGTAATAAAAATGAATATATTAGAGACGAGAAATAAAGATTAATTTGGGTTAACCTCCATTTTGTTGCTTAGCATTAGACCAAACAATGAAAATAACTATCTAATTACATGGCCCCTTTTAGAAGTAAAACAGAACAATTACCTTCTCTGAAAGGGAAAAAAGAAACAAAAAGAGAAGTAGAAATTGAATATGAATATGATACTGAGTGGCTGGCTTATATATATTGGTAGCTTTTTTTTCTTTTATTTTTATAGAAATCTTTGATAGACAGCCTTTCAAAGGAAAAAGGTTCATATTAGTAATTAAAATCATGAAGTTCTCTCATGTTAATTACTTTATCAGAAAAAAAAAAGGTTTTACATATATACAAATCACAAAACGACTTTCAAAAAGTTTATAAAAGTAGATAACAAATTAGACAATGTATATGGACAAGCTACAAATGGCCATAGGATCACATATATACAACTGGCCAAGGTGCGTTCTCATTCGGCATTGGGAGCAAATGTGGTAAGCCAAATCAACAAAGGTCTGCTAAGACGATTTCCGGTTCATTCAAAGACCCAAATACTGTTTATCTCGCCCCGCGTTCCTTCGCCCAACAGCACACATATGATAGAAAAGAAGGAAGGTGGTTAAGGGTGCTTTAAAATTTAAATATAATAATTTAATTATTTAATTAAATATCAAAATAATTATTTATGAGACAATTAAAAAAAAATCAAAATGAACTGGTTCTCTGGTTTCCCACGTACCTAATTGTACTGTCAACATATTAAAATAATAATCAGCTAATGAGTTTCTTTATGGTTCTAACACTGCCCCATTCAACAAGCGAATTTTTACCTTTTTTGTCCTTCCAAAATATTAGGTCAATATGATAGTACAAGTTTTATTTTATTTTTTAAAGTGAAAAAAAAAATGAAAGTACAACTTAAAATTATTGTACTAATATCTATACGTGGAAGGTTGAGGGGGTCATGTAATGGAAAGGAGGAAGAGGAACAATATTATCCAGGCATATGGTACCTACATTCACAAAGATCCTAAAAAAGTGTTGAAGCTTTTAAATACCTTTGAATTCCCATATGATTAAGACATGGAACATGGTTCTTAACTCTCAAGTGGCCTTCCCTAATGTTCCCTTTATCTTAATCTTCGTCTCCATCAAACAGTGTACACTATGCCAAAGAAATTTGAATTGTAATTGTCAAAAATGGAAGCATACTTGTTCTTCATTTTTGTCCTTTTTTGGCCTCTTCACATCCCATGTATAAATTGCAAACAAGTAAAGAATTTTTATTTTACTTTTTTCTATTGTATATGTAATTTTAATATCTGTAATGAGAGGTAGCCTCCTCTCAATTTTATCCTAAAAATTTAATCACTTTCGATTCAAATTGGTAAAGTTTGTGCACTTTTTGGTTAGATTGTCATGTCTAGTGCGGGTATAGTTATTCTTTTGTCATCAACAGGAAACTAAAAATTAACCGAGGAATCGAGCTTTTTGCCGTCAGATCTTGAAGCCTGAACGCATTTGATTTTAAGCACGTCTTCTGATAATGACATGCAGGAAAGTACAAGACAAATTAAAAAATAAATAAGCAGAGTAATTAATTAATATAATATACATAGTGCTAATGATTGTTACTATTTATTAAGTATTATTAATAATTCCATTCCAATCCGGAATATGGCAAGATGAGTTGTCCGGGGCTTCCCATGCAAAAATGATGGTTTTATCAATCGTTAATAGTGCTTTGCTGCCTTGGATGCACTCTAATAAAATTGCCAGCTTATACCCTTTTCTTGTTTTCGTTTTGTCGTTTTTTTCCTCGTTCGGATGTAAGGGGGGCGACTGGGTAAGCCTACCAATTCCATTTTTTTTAAAAAAAAAAATTTGAGGGGATTTGTTGTGCCTTTTCTTCTTTCTTTGTTTTCTATACATATCTTGATTCAATGATCCAAAATTCAAATGCTAAATATCTCAATCCAACAAAATTTCAGCGTCAAGTATGAGGTAGATGACATTGTGCTTAGTTTACCTTTTTAATCTTTTGGTGAATCATGAAACATGAAATGTTGAGAATGATTCTATGAAGTGATGGTAGCATGCAATTAGATAGAACAGTACTGTCCTAACGTAGTGGAGATACATATACATCTATATATATATATATATATAGAGAGAGAGAGAGAGAGTACAACACTATATAAGGTTTAGGTTAACCTTCTACATTTATTGGCAAGAATCCTGTCTTTTGCCTTTGAAATTAAATATTGATTTGATATATGCTTAGGCCTTAATCGCCTTTCAATTATCAAAAGTTTGCTTCAGTGAAAATCAGTTTATCTTATAAGCACATGGTTTTCTTTTTTTGTTTTTTTTTGAACGTGTTTCTCCGAATCTGACGGTGCGAATCCAATGTGCTTTTAGATATAAGTATAATAGTACTCCATGAACTTTTTTCTGGTAATTTCGAGATACCCCACTTTGCAAATGTTGTGGGAAGGAAGAAGAATAATGCTCTTTGAAGAGAAAAGAGATGTGTAGTAGTTTGTATAATCTTTTTGGGTGGCTGAAGGGATTTCCATCGTATCCATGGCAGGAATAATTATGGGTCTGCTAATTTTGAATTTATGCCAAGTATCTCATTTATTAGGCCATAGATGCCTTTGTTGAAACCCATACTCCTTTGATGTTCCCTTTGATCTTTTAAGACCTGTTTTCTTTGGCTTTTGTCTCATTTGTTCTTTTGGTGATCGAAAGATTGGAACATATTTTATATTGTCAATGAGTTTTTCAAACGAGGACAAAAATTTTATTAATTTATTTTATTATTTTGGAAATGGGGGAGTTTTTTTTTTTTTCGCTTTTCTTTTGCGGTGTGGGCTTTGGTCGTGCCAATAGATCAATGTTCATTCCTATCCATTTTAGGAATAATTAAAGACTTTTGCATATACTACATTATATATTTATATTCATATCTTAAACCTCAAGTCTTGAGGAATAAAAATTAGAATTTTTCTACCATACATCTGAATTCAACACTGCCATGGTTCTCCATCTTATCTGCATCTCCTTTTCTTTGATCTTTGCGCGTATTCTGCGTGGCTTTTAATCTTTCAAGTGATTCAAAATAGAATGAAAAGTAGATACTCCTTCTGATGCTTGCCAGGAAAATGAACAGCGAATTCAGAAGTTTGTATATCTGCTAGCTATTCTTGTTGGGATTGTAGATTACTTCGTTTGTAAATGAACACTCAGAAGATTGATTGCCAAGAACATTTAGAGCAGAACCTTGGATTCAGTAGGGTCTGCAATTTTGAATATGTTAATCATGATGGATTTCAACAGCCTTGGAACATGGGAATCCGGATTCAGGCACCTGCCACGGAGGGAGGGTTACAGCAGGAAAACCCAGGAGCCGCTAAAACATCCAATACAATTATGAGTGGTTTTCTGTCTCCAGCGTCTGCTTTTTATGCAACTGAAAGATGCATGGGGTTTTCCGAGTACGGGTCTCAAGGGGATAGATCTTCTTACACCTCCCAATACAACAAGAGCTGCAATTCTCAGTTACCTTCATTTCATGCTTCAGGGGATAACTTTTCCATTGAATCTGTTGCTCAAGATGAAACCAACTATGAGCTGAGAAATACATTTGAGTCACTAGTAAAGTCCCAAATTTATTGCAATCAGTACCAGAAGTCCTCTGAAAAGTCCTATAAGATTCCATGCAGCAATTCACAAGGGAGCCAGGTTTCCCCTCATGATCAAACTAACTTTCTTGGAAACAATGCTGTCACTGTTGGGAGTCACTATTCGGTTCCTTTCCGAGTAAATCAGGATCAAAGAGTAAAGTTTCTTTTTCTTTTTTTTTTTGGTTCTCTCTTTTTGTAGCTGAAATTAACTTTCTTGTTGTTTTCATATGAATTCTAATGTTACTCTTTGTAGAAAGAAGTTGTATTAATTGTGCTCTGGTTGTTGCTGTGCAGGCTTACTGCAACTCATATCGCTCTCCGCTTGCACAAGTAAGCATCTTTCAGCAAGGGAAGCAGTCTTCAAATTGTTCTTCTGGAACCTTTTCTGTTTCTTCTGGCAACTCTGTTTCGACGGGGGCAGCACTTGCTAGTAAAACCAGAATAAGGTGGACACAGGATCTTCATGACAAGTTTGTGGAGTGTGTCAAACGCCTTGGCGGCGCTGAGAGTAAGTAATTGTATGGTTTCAACTTCATCAAATCTTGAGAAACCATTCTGTGAGCATTTTAGTTAGTTATTACTTTGATCAAACAGAGGCAACTCCAAAGGCAATTCTCAAACTGATGGATACAGAAGGATTGACCATCTTTCATGTCAAAAGCCATTTGCAGGTATTAATGCAATTTCAAGTTTTTTGTCTGTTGATTATATTTCTTCTGGCAAAATGCTAATATCCAAATTTGTTTCCTTCTGATTTCTGTCTTGTAGAAATATCGTATCGCAAAATACATGCCAGACTCTGCTGAAGGTATACCTTGATAGTTGCTACAATGACTGCTTCTCTTTTCTTCTTCTTTGCTAGACAACAAGCGAGATTACTGATTTAATTCCTCTGCTTCCTAGCTGCAACTATTAGGCAAGCTCTGCAAATATAAATTTTGCTTGGCTGATTCCTCCTGATTGCATACAACTTCAGAGAATCGGACATATGGATATTAATTACTTTAGCCAATCAGGAGAATTTTTTGCTATTCTTTGTTGATTGTTTATGTGGGAAGGCATGGAGTGTTCACAGGCCAGATAGTTTTGCTTTGGATAATTATATGAGCTCGCCGGAAGTTCGTCCACAAACAATCTCATCAATATCTTTTCTTGTTGCAGGCAAATCAGATAAAAGAAGTAGTACAAATGATGTAACTCAACTGGATGTCAAAACGTAAACTTCTTAATACATTCATCTTATTCCACCCAAATATATTTTCATTTTTGAAATAATTCGCTACCGAAATTGTTTTGCTGTTCCATTAATTTTACACTGCAATTTAATCAAAATTTTCAATCTGTCTTGCAGTGGGTTGCACCTCACAGAGGCATTGCAGCTTCAGTTAGATGTGCAGAGGCGTCTTCATGAACAATTAGAGGTACAGGAATAATCTTTGATGTTGTCTCACTTTCATTAATCTTGCCATGTTTCTGTCTGTCCGGTATGCATTAACTTATATAAAAACAGTCAAGTGTTGAACTTTTAGAACGGACTTTCAATCCAATTTACCAAACTCTAATACTCCCTCTCACGTGTATGAATCACGAATTTATCACATAACATGAATGATAGAAGGGATAACAATGAAGGCTATCATATCCCCAATTTTAGATTGACATCCATTTTAAACCAATTAGGTAATAGATAGAGAGAAATACTTGTTATATTTATATGTCCATCCATTATATCCCCAATTTTACTAATATGAGACTATCACCTCTCTAATACTTGTATCGGAGCAAATATTACTTTTTTGTTGTTGTTCTCTTTATGATAAGTTATCACGTGATAAATCTGTTATCTCTACATTTGAAGAGAGTATTGAGAATGGTAATAAAAAAATCTCACATCTATTAAGTTAAATGTAATAAAGATTAATTCATCCTATTTGATTTTAAACTAAATACCTGTCTTGGAAATTCAATTGATTGACAAAGCCATGGCAAGGGGTTTCTGACTTAATTCCTACTAGACCAGTTTAATTCATAAGCAACAAATATTAGTCATTGACTAATTTTGCCATTTCTTTTTCCTTGCTCAGATTCAGCGAAATTTACAGTTGCGAATTGAAGAACAAGGAAGGCAGCTTAAGATGATGATTGATCAGCAACAAAAAACAAACGAAAGCCTCCTAAAAAAACAAGATTTGGACATCACACCCTTTGATCATGATCCATCATTTAGCCTCGAAGACGTGGAGGTCTCTATTGCAGAAAGTTCAGGAAATGCTCACTTCCCATCCAAGATAAGTTAGACCATCTCCAAAGTTCATGTCAGAGAAGGCCGTGTACAAAAATACAAGCCTTCATGGCATGTCAAACAAATTAAGCCCACCACTTCCTTTCTGCAGAATCCAGAGCAAGATTGTAAAACAAATGAATGCAACTAAAACATACAAATTCAAAAGAGTTTCACTCATGAATCGTGCCTTGAAGAGCTTGAACATGCTTTTGTGTATTCAACTATTTGTGCACATCAAGCTCGTACAGAGAACTATGAGAATTTTAAGTGCCATAGGGTAGGCCATGGAATTCTTTTTTGCTTCTTCTTTGTATTAGCTTGCTTTCAGTCAATTCAATACCTTTTATGTGAGAAAGTTAGACAATGACTGTGCTCATTTTCTTTTTTCTTTTTCTGACATTAATTCATAAACATATAGATGGAAAAATTAAGCAAAGTGTTGTTTATTTCTCTCCTTTATTACTTTCTGGGTAAACTATAAATTAAAATTCCCTGAAATTTGGTCAAAGTAAAGGACATAGTGGTTTTGACAAGTAACGGAGACGAGCCAACCTTTATATATCAAAGGTGTCAAATGGACGGGTCGTAAATGGGTTGAACAATAATATTATCAAATGCATATGCATGTATGACATATTTAATTTGTACAATGTTAGGCTCAACCCCGTTCATTAGTTATTTATACTCCCGTGTGTAACGCATGGTACCATGCCTTTTAGAGGCTTCACACGTATTGCTGCTAGAAAACAGGCTTCACCTAGAAAATAGATATGGTCGACCCTTTTGTTCAGGGGTGGACGGTAGTTAAGGCTCCCAAAATTTTTAAAATATTTTATTTATTATATATTTTTAATCAATGATGAAAGATAGTATATCTATTGGCATCATGATTCCCTCAAAATTTTTAATATTTTAATTATTAAATATATTTTAATTCTCTTTAAAATAATTTTTTATTTAATAATAATATAAATAAATAATAATAAAATGCACCGCTAAACTTTATCTTAATTTTTACATTCGAGCATTTAGGTCATTCGTTGGTATATGATCTCCCTACCTAAAAAGAAAGGTTCGAATCCGTCTTTTCCTAATTATATATATAAAAAAACTTTATTCTAATTCTTAGGTTTCTCTACACTTTTTTCTATTTCCTCCTTTTCTCTTTTTCTTCTCTTTTGTCTTTTTATTTATTTTTTTAAAAGTATTATATGAAATTTCATTATTTAATGGACGTGTACAAAAGTTATCTCATTTTGATAGTATTGCAGCAAAAATATATAAGACTAGGGATATGCAAATATTCTGGTTAGTTCGATTTTGGATATCTAATAATCGAATTTATATTTCAAAATAACTAAAATCGAACTGAATTTTACAAATAACCCAACTAACTAAAACTAAACTAATTCAGTTAGTTTGGTTCAGCTTTCAAAAATCGAACTTGAATTTTTTTTTTGTATATATTTATTTATGCTGTATTTTTTTTATAAATCAATACTACAAAAATATTAAAGATGATAATAAAAAATTATAATAAATAAGATAGATACTTATACAAACAACAACAAATAATTAAAAATATAAATAAAAACAAAAATAAATAGTCTTGAGCAAATAACAACAAATCATTAACAGTATTCAACCATGGATAAAAACAACAATAAATAGTTTTCAACAAATAATTTTGAACAAATAACATCAAATCATTAATAATCTCCAACAATGGATAAAAACAACAATAAATAGTCTTGAACGCAAATAATCTTCAAAGATTACTTTCTCCCCAAATGCCTCTTGATGCCATTAGCAACTTAGCATAAACACAGGTTGTACCTTTAAAAGTTGAAAAAAATAAAAAAAGATCATTAGCTTCAAATATATTAAAAAAAAAGATCATTAGCTTCAAATATATTAAAAAAATTAAGTTAAAACATATTAAATAATTTATAAATTCAAATAGACATTAGATAACATTAGTACATTATGTCATTACCTCAAAGATTATCAAGTATGTTGTCCATTGCAATCTTTGACAACTCTAAAATACATAAACAAGAAAGTAAGAAATAAAGCAATAACATATCAACAATTGAAACAACCGAAGTGAAATGATGATATAAATAAAATACTTACCCTCATCAACTTTCTCAAGCTCTACCAAATCATTCTCAGTGTTATTAAGATAATAGGATGGTCCATGTAGCCAATCGTGGGCATGAATAAGGGCTTGAACCATCTTAGGCATTAAAGAACTTCTATATGCATCAAGAACATGACTATTGGTGCTAAAAGCTTATTCCGAAACAACTATGGATGGAAGAGTCACCAATACATAACGAGCCAGTAGGGAAAGAGTAGAATATCTACGATTATTGAGTTTTCACTAAATGAGAACATCAAAGCCATCACTATCAGTTGGATCAGGTTCATTTAAACTCAAATACTTTCCCAATTTTGATTTATCCTCTTCCTTAATAATTGCAATCTTATATCTCTTAAATTCATTCAGAAGAGCAATACCAGCATTAGAGTCAATATCATCATCAAATTTTGTAATTTGGCTCACTTAGGATTGGTTATTGTCACCAACTTTCTTAAGAGGCAGTTGTACCTTTTTTTGGTATTTAGTAAGCAACTCTTCCATTGTTTTTTTTCAAACTTGCATAAATCGATGAAGCCTGCTCATTCAAATACATTTTCCTTCAACAAAACTATTCAAATACAAGTTTCTTCCTTGGATCAAGAATAGAGACCATATAGAGCAATTTATTCATTTTTTCTATATTTCTCCAATACTTATCAAATTTCTCTTTCATTCTTTTTGCCATTGTTTGCAACTCAACATCAGGATATCTTTTTCTATCTCTCAAAATGTAATCAACACCACAAATATCATCAAGAAACGTATTAATAGTGGAATAAGAAGTACCTAAAACTTTTATTATGAGTGTATAAAAATGTTTCAAGAAAAGATTCAACTTCTTAACATTTTTCCAATCTTCATGTTCAGGTATCCCATCTCCCATCAATAAATTAGTTTTATACTGAGAATTGGCTTCCTCAAATAAATTAAAGGCTTCTTTAAACTTTTGAGTTGTTTTTAGCACATGGTAAGTTGAATTCCATTTAGTACTAACATCCAAAGACAACAAATTCTTTGATTGAATATTTGGAGACTTAACACATTCTTTCAACTTTACTAACCTAGCAGGTGACTATCTAATGTATCTAACTGCTCCTCTAATACAAGCAATTGAATCATTCATTTCCTTCATTCCATCAGTGACAATGAGGTTAATGATATGTGCAATGTATATCATATGTAGAAATTTACTTTCTAAAAAACTATTTCCTAATAAGTCCAATTTTTTCTTTATATGTGCTATTGCAACATTATTGGAACTAGCATTATCAATAGTAATAGTGAAAACCTTACTAATCTCTCAATCACGCAGATATTTATCAATCATTTTCCTAATGGCCTCACCTTTGTGACTATAAATGAGACAAAAGTTTAAAATTTTTTTGTGTAATTTCCAATCATTGTTTATAAAGTGAGCTGTAATACACATATAATTCTCTCTTTGAATTGATATCCATGTGTTTATGGTTAGAGAAACTCTAAAAAAAGGATGTTCTCAATATATGCTTGAAACGGTTTTTTCCATCAGCAAAAAGGTTATAGCAATCTCTAGCAACAGTCCATCGTGATGGCACAATAAAACTAGGATATGAAGTTGATACAAATTTCTTAAAACCTTCCCCTTCTACAAATCTAAAAGGTAACTTATCTTTGATGATCATCTTAGCTAAAGACTTTCTAATGGCTTGTTGATTAAATTTTCAAGTTCCTATTGACCCATCACCCAATTGAAAAGCTAACTCAGTTTAAGCAGAATCATTATCAGCATTAGGAAACTTTTTGCAATAATTCATGTGATTCGTTAATGAAGTTGTGCCATTATATTTAGTATTAGCAGAAAGTACCCTATCACAATAATTACTTTTAGCTTTATGTTCACCTTGATCATTGAGAAATCTGGTGAAGAGTTTCCAAACTTCATACCTCGATGGAAATGTTTTCCTTTTTTTAGAATTGACAACATCACTTTCATTAGTGGAGATTATAGTTTGTTGTGTAGTCGGTGATGGTGATGGTGACGATGATGGCATGCAATAGGTGTAGGCTACGTAGCAACATCACTAGAAGTAGGAGCTAGATTATCGCTTTGACTTGCTATTGAAATCTTTAATCTGTCACTCAAAAAAATTAATTGATTAACAAAAATGTAATTCAAGAATCTATTAAAGAATCTATCACTAATAGTATATATTAAAAAAATATTAGCAAATATAATCATTTAATATAATCATTCATATGTGCATGACTCATTCTAAATGCATCATTATCCCATCATTTTCAAACTTCATAACTCATGAGAATTTGACATATGTCTAAACTAATAAATTTCATTCTTTTTTCTTTGTACAAAGGAGACAAAACGTAAAGAAAATGAAATTAGTGAAAATTAGTTTATTAGTGAATAATTTGATGTGTTATCGAAAAATAAATGCCGTTTGCTTACATTTCCCTTATTCTTTACCCTTGTTATCACACTTGGATAGAATTTTTTTTTTTTGAAATCTAGATGATAATTTATTGCAATAAAAGGAACAAAGAGAATAAATAAACAATATAGACTATAGCATAGAACAAAAACAATAGAAGAACAAAGACAATTAAAGCAATCACAACCAAGAAATAAAGAGATCTTTATCTTTGCCAACAATTTGTCTTGGCTACTATAATAGGGTAATGAGCTATCCATATGTCTTGTGTAAAATAGTAAAATTGGTAAAAGGAAAGTGTCCAAGAATGTAAAAGTCGCAAGGAATACTAATTTGCCTTGTGTCTTGTATTTGTTTTGCTTCATATCTTGCAAAAGGTTGTCGTCTTTAGATGCTAGTGATTCCTTTCTTGTAAGATGCTTTGCTTAAATATGTGGAAATTTCTATATGTTCTGACATTATACATATAATATTAAAAATTAATTGGAAAAAGGATTTTCTTTTTTATTTTTCTATATTTTTCTTTTGGGATCTCAGTTTCTAATAACCATTTGAAATTTTGAAATAATGGGTCTAATTAAGTTTTGTGATATATAGATGAAATTAGCATATAAATTAAAATCAATTAATATTCAAAATCCTAACATATTATAAATATGTTGCCTTTGCAAATTCATTAATATTGATCCCCTTAAAAGTAAATGTTTATGGCCTTTGAGAATGCTTGGTAGTCATGAATCTTTGTTGATAAAAAATGTAAAGTAACAGAGGAAACACTTTTCTAACAC